AGAAATGTTCAATCAGCATGGTCTCGGTGATTTGGAAATGAGACATTCATCAGAACTGTGGACTGATGGAGATTGTGGTAGGCAACTTTCCTTTCAAACGTCTCTACAAATATATCTTACTTTTAGAAAGATTAATGTTTAGAAGTTTGTCCTATATTCAATTTAACGAGCGGTTCGCGTTCCATCGTGGAGAATTCTAGCAGAGAGTACTTGGTAATCCTTTTTTTTTTCTTTTTTTTGGCTAGATAAAAATTTGAGTTACCCTATCTGAATTAGCAAATAGTTGACATTTCTCAGCAATTTCATCGGCTCATGAGCGATCCTGATCCAAACAGTTTGAGAGAGAGCAATTTTCAATCGATGACAGTTAGTATGACCTTTGCCTTTCTCAAACTGGCTATAAAAGCGTTAGCCACGTATGCTAAGTGGCACGCAAGACTTTGAATCTCCGTTGGGAGTTGATCGCTTGTCTCACCCATTCCGGGAAAATGATGATAGTCGAAAAAGAGCGCGCGTAATGTAGTAGTTATCACATGATTCCGGCAAAGATCAGACACGGTTGATCTCTCTCCCGAGACTTAAAGTTTTATGTACCACTCAGTTATAAAATCCTCAAAGATCCACAATAACACTGTTACTGAAGCGGTGAAAAATGGATTTTTGAGAAATATACATGAAGATGTAACTGGTGAATTGTTCTAGACCGCGTCGAAGTCTGAATCGTCCCCTCAGGAATCATCAAGAGATGGTATTACTACGCACATGACTTGCATCAGATTCTTTGTGAATATATTGGATGCATTGCGATTGATAGGACTTGGAGGTGTCACTATAAGGCGTATCCAAGAAGTTACTCGATGCACGATTATCCTCAGTTCCCTGTTTTGTCGACTTTATTTCTATATTTCCCATTAGTTTATGATAACCGGGTTACTACCCTTTCGCTGCGACGGCCATTTTCGCCTAATGGGCGATTCGGGCGGCTACAAAAAGCGATTGGAAGAAGGGGGAAAGCTCATCTATACAACGCTTTTTTGAAAAATCTTTTCAGCTCTGTTTTGTTGGATAATGACAATGAAGGTCTTTCAAAACCCATATTTATCAAAATCATGCCAGATTTTTTGAGTCTTGCCAATCTTCTGGTGCCGTCCGAACAGCGTGAACACGTGCGTATCGTTTTTGCTACGCGCCGTAGTGGAAGGGCTAATATTTATACACACTACACCTTTTCTATTTTTGATATTTCGTATTGGTTCTAGGACGAAGAATTTTATAGAGTGGATAATTCATGAACAGAATAATTCAAAATAGTAAATTCGCTATAGTTTAATAATGGGCTTACAAAGAAATTACAATTTTTTTTTTGCTGAAAAGTTCTATCTGAACGCTAGGGAATCTTAGTCTTAGTATCATACAGTTGACTGTAGATGGTTTCATATTCTATTTTCAGTTGCACCCGGAGATGAGGAAGAATGACGAAATTGTTGCCGAGGTGTTCTCCACATCGCTAAAGCAGTGCGAAAGCGCTCGTCAACACGTATTAGCATTTCTTGCTGGCGCTAGTTTACGTGCGGATCACCCAGTCGGCTCATCATTTAAGAAAAAAGAGGTTATTCAGGTTTCAACGCCATTTTTTTTTTTGGAGGGAGGGGATGACGTCGACTGGTCAGTGATACGGACTATCAGAAGCAAGGTACTGTTTCGATCCACACTTCCAACGCTCTCTTTCAATCGCTAAAAAGGGCTTAGTTCGGCAACTTTGAAGAGTGCATGGAAAATCGACTTAGTTAGAATCCCACGACATTCATGGGCAAGGCGAGCATCTCAGGTAGCGGGTAGAAACAAGACGTGAATGTTCCGAAGAACGGTGGAGAATGAATATGAGAAAACGATTTAATCGCTGAAATTGCTGACATCTGTACAGTAAAATGTGATTGGTTAACAAATGATTAAAATATGTAAAAGCACGGTAAATGCAACAGCATTCCATTTTCAAACGCAGCATGCTGGGAATTACAAGCTCTCAGAAGGTGGAGCAGACCGTTCAGCATAGTCAGTTAGGGATGCAAAGGCTGTGGGTCCACGGTTTCCAAAGGGTTAAAGAATCATACATAGTTTGATACGTTGCATTTTCAGATCCGTGTTCCCTCTAAAATACTGCTTCAACTAAAACCAAAGAATTCGCCTTCAAAACAAACCAATTAGAAGTCTGTGCAATGGTTGATAGATTTAATCTTGTATCTGATACTGCGTATATTTTTATTATAAGTTATTTAGATAGCTTGCACTGATGTGCTGCTTTGCTTAGATTCTTCCCTTGAATTTCGGTGGTGTTCCAATTTATTGAAATAGGAACCAAAAATTTGTTGTATCCATGTGATGGCTCTAACTCAATGTTCTTCATCGTACTATGGGAAGCACCGTGTTTGCCAGTGTATTCTGTATATCCTAGTATTCTGTAATTTCTATCTCAAGGAGTTCTGTGCCATTAAGTTGGAGTAAGAGATGATTTTATGTACCTGTGAGTATTCTCTGTCAAATATTTCTTGTGATCTCAATCACTGTTCTGATCTGAAAATTGCTCAAAGCTATGTTTCTAACGGATTATTTTATTACAATAAAATGTTAACTCCATTCGTGGTCATCAGGATTTTTTTGTGGTTACGTTATTGTTTCAAAGTGCCATAAATCGGATCACGGCACCGGATCGGACTCTTCATTTCATCTAAGTCCTGTGTTTTCCGTTTAGTTGAAAATTTCCTTTTGTACAGTCATAGTAGCTACAATCCTCTGCTCAATAGGAGCACTTTTGCTGGCTAAAAACGAAGGCTTCCACATTCGTGTCAACTCATTGATGAGAAAAACGATACTGACCTGCCACCTAGGGTTACTGGATGTTATGCAGAACATCGATTTCAGACGAGATCTGAAGCCGCTTGTCACCCATACAGGAGGGTCGTGAAACCGCTACACCATCGAAGTCATCGCTTCGCTTCTACGATTTGTTCGATATAAACTGCTGTGCTGTTAGCAACCATCCTCTAGCGAGTTACGTCTGGTAGGCATATATCAGCATTAAACCCAACTGTCAATCATTCAATCCGAGGGTTTGGTTCTATGGAACCGGGAATTGCAAGCTTGCGCCGCCGCCCTGTTGTTAAGAGGTTGGGTAGGAAACTCGTGCTGTTTTGCTTTCTTGAAATGATTTTTGGAAATGAGCTAGCGTGATTTTGGTATGGGAGGCGCCGTGGCCGAGTGGTTGTGATGTTAGTCATGGCGCGCGTGGAGTCCGAGCTCCACACACACTTCCCTCCGGCAGTCGGCAATAACGTCCTATGGAACGCCACAGCAAGGCTATCCTCGAGATTGGAAGGAAACTCGCTCAATCGGTATTCTACGCCTTTCAAGAAGACGAAAAACGAATTGAATACTGGAAGTAGTTGGGTCCGCACAGTGAAAAACACTGTGATGACGGATCACATAAAGTGTTAAAGAAAGGATTTTGGTATCGTTCAGTCGCGTATATTCTTGCAAACTTTTAGTAGACAGCTTGTCTCTGTTTGCCTCATGATAGAGCTATCGTAGGAACAAATTAGTTTGCTACTCATGCACGAATGGCGTGTAGGCAAAAATGCTAATGAATTGGCGCACATGATTAATGGAGCTTCCTGTGGACGGCCCGAGGGCCACTGACCTCCGTACTGTCCTCTCCATCTTGGAACAGACCGAATCATTTCCTAGCCGTCTTCTCAGGAAGCGTTTCATCGCTCAAAGCTCCATTAGTCTTGCGCGCCGCTTCTCTAGCATCTTGCCTTTCGTGCCATTCGTACATGAGTAGCAAGTGAATTTGTTCTCACTAAAGCTCCCTCTCAAAACAAGTATAGAAAAGCTGTATACTAAAATGTTCGCAAGAGAATGCGCAGTTGAACCACACCAAAATCATACAATTTTAATCACTTCCGGTCAATAAATCTGGTGCTTGTTACTCTAGTGCGCACACTTATGGAAGGATCTAATGCTATGCGCATCCAAACACTTCTTCGGTCTCGTTTCTTTGGTTCCTGGATCCTTCGCAAACGTATTCGAACATTTCATCTGCTCGGCTAGGTGCTGGTACGACCTTCTCGCCCGGCACTCTCCTGCAGTCAGTCAGCTGACAGTCCACAAAATGCCCCCATCTTGGATTCCTGCGAGATTATCATAAATAAAAACCTGACCAGCATCCTACGTAATATATATATATATATATATATATATATATATATATATATATATATATATATATATAGACAAATCACCTACTTGTATCCTAGGCCTCCTCGTATGAATCCTGGTCCCATAAACGAACGAGACCGTTCTCTATAGGCCGAAGCCAGGAGGGGAAACTCGGGAAGACCAGCTTAGACGTTTTATTGAAGAGAAAATTGCAGTAGAATTAGGTCAGTTTTTACGGTTCCATTGTTCTGAGGCAGAACTTATTGGCGTTTATCGAGAGCAATATTATTGAGTAGTATGCAAAACTGTCGATCCTAGACGGGAGATGAACCCCTCTCGTTTCACCCTTTGAAGCGTGGGCGGGAGTGAAAGGGGCCCCGGTAGTACAGTGGTTATCACATGCTCCCGGAAAGGGTGAAATGCGGGTACGACACCCGTCTGGGATTCAAGGCTTTGCGTATCACTCAACATTCTTTGATAGTTAACTACAACATCATACTACCGCCAAAAACGGTTGTATAAAGAATGTTTTTCCGGTTCTATGGCAATAATTGCTCTGTGAAGAGATTTTGAGCTTGATGATGGCTCAGAATCCTTTTACTGTCTATCAGTATAGTTATCATTTATTTTATCGACTTTTTGAGCAGCCGCAAAGATTCATGTGCAGGTTTTTATCGATGGAATTGCGAGAATTATGTAAAGTTATAGGAGTCTCTGATAAGTTTTACTGTTATTAAGCTTGACTCGAGCTATGAAACAGCCTGTAATTTCGTCTCGAGGTCTTCTCCACCTTTACTTTTATTCATATTCACAAGTATTTGATCCAAGCCAAGGGATCTGGGAATTTTACACTCTCAATTACATCGAGGATGTACAAACGACTTGAAAGTTGTGATCTCATTCTCGAAGACCGACCCCCTTCCGGCGTCATGGAACAATAGACAATGGAGATTTGCAAGCAGCTTTCAATGCGGAACCGTCATCAAGCACTCTTGTATTGACAGCAGATCTTAGCGTCGATCAAAAAACAATTCGGAATCATCTTCAAAAACTTAACTTTGTCCACAAGGAGCCTCGCCAAGATCCGCACAGTGGTTGGAGCTCAAGCCAATAGCAGCCTTGAAATTTGCCGTTGAAGAGGCATATCAGGAGTTTTTTGATTCAAAGCCCAACGAATGACGATTTCGGGCAGATCCGGAAGCTTGTATATTGTTGGCAGAAGGTCATGGATAAAAGTCTTTGATCTTTACTTTGAAGAGTATTATTGTTGTTTTCAATCGAATTTATGTATGATCTCTGAACATTCAGCGGGTGTTAAGGAACTTTTTCCTCAACCTAATACTTTAGGAGGAGTCGAAGGAGTGACGCAGGATTGCAACCAACATTAAATAATGTGTAGTACAAGCAACCAATTCTACTCTGATACGACAGAGAACTTTTGTCACGATTATTCTAAAGAATTTTGCTAAAGTCTATACATTATTGCTGTTTGGAGTACAACTATTTATCACGCATTGATCAAAGTTATTCTGATAATAACTACCATACGTGTTCTAAATTAAAAGCCACCATTATCGCTGATTCGGCAACATCAGATATCAACTAGACAGCAGTGAAGACGATCTGTCCCTAAAAAATGACTGGATGTCAACACAGTATAATTTCGTGGTAAACGAGCGCTTCTTCTTCACACATCAAAAATTTTAGACACAAATAACATGGGAGGGTATATAGGAGAACATTGTGCATAATAAGATTGCAAGAAATCTAAAAGTTTCTGTACGCTTGCAAAGGTTAACATGCAAAAGCCTTGCAGAAAATTTCCTAACCAACTGCTTAATAGTCACATATTGTTACATTTCCATTAAGAGAAATAAACTGACTGTGTAAAACACAGAGAATGTGCAGCGGTTTCTCAACCTGGCGCTTAAAAAAGAACTTTTGTTCTATTTATATATCTGCGCACATTTTAACCGAACGGATCGCAGTAGTTCTAAGATTCGATCCGCCTTCTTCTTGAACGCTGTTTCTGTAATTTTACACACTGTAAGCAGATGGTAACATCTGTGCAGCTGATTAGGCTCGCAGCTGGCGGTTTTTTGCTTTCTTTCAACTACAAACAAGCGTCCCATCTGTGCTTAACTTTATATCAACCACAGACATGTACCATTTTTAGAACACTGTTATTGTAGCCGATAGCATCTGTAATGAAGAAAGTAACAAAAACTCTAATATTATTCCTCCCAAGCACAGTTAGTATTCAAGCTGCTTTACCAGACTCAACGGGCTACCAGACATTACCAGTCCCGATATCCGCTTTGTCTACTGTGCCATATCCAAATAAAGCTAAATAAATAGCGTGCTCCTCTACCATATAACCCCATGCTGTCAAAGTTGAGCACACTGCATCTGATGAGCCAACGATCACGCAATCCCAAAGTTATCACCATTAGTGGCGACCGCGGCAATAACTTCGACAGTCATCACAATCTTCTGCTTGCCCTCGTAACCATGTCCACTGCAGACAGTGCCGGAATCCGACAACAGATCGGACAATAATCTTCTTCTGAGATATTCTTCGTCTTTGGATTAGGTCTCAAACGAATTCAAGGTCCACCAGGATCAAATAACTTCACTCATCTCAGCGATGTTCAGATGGAATCCCTTTATTCCGAGCTAGATACGCTTAAGCTTCATTTTTTCCAAGCGTGTACGAAAATCACCAGGCTTTGCAGCGATTGGTTGACTCTCCAAGACGGCAGCAGTGGTGGGAGTGGCATTTTCAATGAGTACATAGCTAAATAAGGTGATTACTGTGACACCATCACTGAATCGATCAGTCATTTGGAGACCATGGATTCTTTGCTAAATTTCCTCGACTCCAAATTCGTTACTCGCGGGATACACGTTCCGTCTAACGCATATGACAGGGTATCGGTAAATGAGAATCTTATAGCTCCAGGAAATCCTCTGCCTACGCAGCACTCGATTATTAATCCTCCAATTGCCCCAGACCCTTCATTACTGCATGTCGTAGATGCCTCTATCCACTCCAAACTAGAACTGCCTACGTCCGACGGCAATCTGCTTGATTATCCTGAATTTTCTGCTCGCTTTGCATCCCTCGTGGACAACAAAAAGCAACCTGATGATACTTCCAAATTCTCTCTACTGAAATCCTGTTCACGTGGCAGAGCTCTCCTCTCTGTTCAAGGACTGGCGATCACATCAGGTAATTTAGTATTGCGAAAAACATCCTCAAAACTCTCTATGATGATAAGATCACCTCAAAGCACATTATTTGCACAAGGCTAGCTCAGCTTCTTTCATGTGATCCCCAAGGACGCCATTTAACTACACTTTACAGTCAGATGTTTTCTTTAGTACGTCAACGTTTTTATGCAGCAGGAGATAATGCTCTCAAAAAATAACTCTCTGCGCTCTTCTCTTGAATATGTCTGCTCGCATACGCAGCCAAATATATGACCGCACCTCTCATGATCATAAAAGTTACTCCCACTGAACTCCTCCACCTTCCTAGTGATACTGTGCAAAAAGAACCTGTCATGAATGAAATGGATTTCCTCTCTCGTCCAGCCTCATTCACTTATGACAACACTCAAAGTTACTCCGCCGTCACGAGTCGGGCTATTTTGCGTACTATTTCAGCAAGCCTGCAGTAATACTAGGCGTCCCTATTGCAGCTCCTTTCTACATACCGCAGTGACATGCGATGCTTGTGCTACACCGCGACAAGGTAGCACTCAAGCAAAGAAACTGCAACCATGTTATAACTGTATCTCCACCCAGCATTCACTATCAAGTGTATAGTGAAAAGAGTGTACACCTCATGTTCTAAAAAACACCATTCTTCCTTATGTTTACAACATCAATCCAAAAACCATTGCAGCGAAAAAAAATGTGAAACTGGTCAGCTGGAGACTGTTCCGTCCCGTCAATCGAAAATACGCAATTCCCAAAAGACCTTACAGCTCGCTCGGCAACTCTAGACCATATTGAGCTGTCGACTGTAATGCCGACGGGTATTTCAGTTCCGCTATCGCAGCCCATGTTTCAGAAAAAAAGAAACTTTGCAAAATTCTACTAGTACACTGAATGACAATAACTTTGATATTCCTAATACATGTGTGCGTCGGTCACCCTTTTTCATTCTTATGATCCTTGTCATCGCACTAAAGCTATCGCATTTCTCGATTCTGGGTCCAACAGATCTTAAATCCTCAGTGATCCTGCTGAAGCTTTGAATCCGTTCCCTCTGAAAAACGAAAATATTTGAGTATCTACCTTTGGAATTGAGAATCTAATCGATATCAAATGCAACAGCTAGCAGACAGAAATTCTTACTGAAAAAGGTGAGAAGCATCTTTTAGTTTGTTCGGTTCCGAAAATAACTCGCCAAGTTCCGCATTCGTTGATGGTTTTTGAACATGATCACAACTATCTGCTACCTCGTATGAACGAACCAGCACTTCTTACTAGGATCGACTATATCTGAATATTGTCCTTTCCGACAACTTCTATTACAAACAGCTCGCCAGCGGCCAAGTCTTACTCCATACTTCTCCTAGAGATATCGTCACCGACCAAGCACTTCATATGGGGGTGCATCACTCACATTGGTCGTCAGTAACAGCCTTCATGATTCAGATCGAAATGATATTTTATCAGATTTGGTGAAGAACTTCTAGGCGCTGGAGGCCGCCGGAATCATGAACAATCCGACCACCAAGAACGACGACGAGTGCCTTAATTTCTTCAATAAAGCGATCTTTTACGATATACTGCGTGAAAGATAAGTCGTGCAATTACCTTTAAGAGACAATGCCGATACTTGCCCAGCAATATCAACCTCACACTGGACCGTCTTTATTCGCTATATGAATCACTCAAGATTAAACCATACCTCATGAGATGATGCCACTGCGGAATTATGGATCATTCAAAGCAAGCGTCGTTGTGGGATGCTACGAGTGCTAACGAGGTGGCGAAATCTGGTGTGCACAACATCCTATGTTATTTGCAAGGCCTTATGCCCAGCAGGGGATATTTTTGTCAACGATGACTCCCTTGACGTTTTACCAAGCCAACAAAACCAATCATCCCCAACTGTCTCCACCTCCTTCCTTAATTTTGAAAGCCTCCTTAACACGTTTGAAATATTTAGCAATAATCTCCCGCTTATTGAGTGTTGCACTTGCTTTATTGTTATTGTTAATCTTTATCTGTATATGACCATTTATTTTCAATGTCTGTGCGATTCCATTTGTTAAGGCGAAAATATACTGGGTGTATCTCATCTTATTCTTTGTTTTTGCGGCGGGAGTTTCTGTAATTCTACAGACTGTAAGCAGATGGTAACATCTGTGAAGCTGATCACACTCGCAGCTGACGCTTTTCTGCCTTTTTCAACTTTAAACAAGCGTCC